TAGGGAGAGGAAGGATGTTTTTATAAAGTTTCCATAAGAAGAGAGATACTTTAGGATATTGATAAGAATTCCAGGTGTTGACAAGGAATTTGTCAGGGGGTTTTTTCTCTCTCAAAGCATTGTATGCTCTCTTTATACTGAAGCCTGGGTGGCCCTCATTCCAGCAAATGGTGTTGTGTTGGTTTAGGTGGAATAGGTTATAGGCAGTATCATTGATATGGTGGAGCCTTTTCCAAATAGGGGAGTCAGTGGGTTTGGGTGGGGAATTGAATCCCTTGGGATATCTTTTGTGGATGAAATTTGCCCAAAAGGAGTTCTTGTGAGTGTAACTCCACCACATTTTCAACCCATAGGAGTCTTGAAGGGTATCTAGATTATAAATGCCCAGTCCTCCTTCCTCTTTAGGGTTGCAGATGTCCTTCCATGTTGCCCAGTGGTATTTATGGTTGTCTCCTTTGGAACCCAGAGGAAATTGGCCATTTTCCTGTTGAGGCATGTAGTGACACTTTTAGGGAGTTTGGTGGTTCCAAGGATATGTAGAGGAATGGAACTCAAAACATGTTTGATTAGGATAAGTCTTCCACTTTGGGACAGCAGGTGCTTAGTCCATCCTTGGAGTTTCTGATCAAAGTGTTCAAGAATGTCCCCACAGTAGTTTTTCCTGTTGATTCCTCTGTGGATTTGAGTGCCCAGGTATTTAAAGGGAAAGAAACCTCTCTGCATGTTTAGGATTTTCCCCATCTTAGAGGCTTGGGCTGTGGGTGTCTTGTCAGGTGTGTAAAAGAAACTTTTTTGTAAGTTGATAGCTTGTCCAGTAGCCACCTCATAATCTTTTAAAAATTTAGCCAGTTTCTGTAGATTGCTAATTGATCCATTACTGAAAAGAATCAAGTCATCAGCAAAAGCAAGATGGGATATGGGTAGTAGGTGTTTGCCCATGTTGTAGCTTTTCAAATTCCCATTGTTGGTGTCCACTTTGAGGGTTCTGCTGAAACTTTCAGTAGCTAAGATAAAAAGGAGAGGAGATAAGGGGTCACCTTGCTTTAGTCCTCTTTGGGGTTGGAATGGTTTGCAGGGGTAGCCATTGATAAGGATACAGTGATAGGTGTATTTAAGGTTGTTAAGAATCAGGGTATTAAATCTGTCACTGAATCCAAACTTTTCAAGAACCATGACCAAAAATTCCCAAGAGACTCTGTCAAAGGCTTTGGAGATGTCCAGCTTAATGGCAATATTTCCTCCTCTTGATTTGTAGTTAATTCCATGGATCAATTCTTGAGCAATCAGGATCTGATCATGAATCTGTCTGCCTTTGATGAACCCCCCTTGTTCAGAAGAAATAAGGTTAGGAAGGAAATGTCCCAGTCTCATAGCTAGAATTTTAGTGTTAATTTTGGCTATGAAATTGGAGAGGCAAATGGGTCTATATTCATCAAAGGAGGAGGGGTTTTCTTTTTAAGGAATAAGGATGATGGTGGTTTTCCCCATGGATTTGGGAATAGGGATTCCCAGGAAAAATTCCTGGACAGCCTTGATCACATCTTCCTTGATAGTGTCCCATCCTTGTCTATAGAAGTCTCCTGTAAACCCATCTGGTCCAGCTGAGCTATCTGGATCAAGACTCCAAACTGCCTCTTTCACTTCTTCCTCAGTAGGGAATTTGGTAAGAGTAGTGTTAATTGAGTCATCCACTAGGAGAGGGATATTGTCCAAGAACTTGTTCATGCCCTCACAATTGTGATTGGAGAAGAGGGCCTTGAAGAAGTTAGTTGCCTCATGTTGGATATCATTGGTGTTCTCCAACCAGTTGCCATTAGAATCTTTGATTCTATGGATTTTTTGATGGATTCTTTTTTCCTTGATTTTGGCATGAAAGAAAGAGGAGTTACAGTCACCCTCTTTGAGCCATTTGATGCCTGCTTTTTGCTTCCAAAATAAAAATTCATTCTTAGTTGTATGAATTAGGTTGGCCCTTTTTTCATTCATGAAAGCTCTATTGTTTGGGGTAGGATTAGCATCAAATTCCTGTTCTGCTTGTTGGAGATCTTTTTCCAGGGCCTCAACTGTAGAAGTGATGTTGCCAAAAGTTGTTTTGTTCCAATGCTGGAGAACCTTTGAGAGCTTACTAAGTTTATCCATGAGTCCTTTCATTCCTCCCCCACAGTATTTTCCCCAGTTTCCTTCAAGGACTTTTATGAAAGTGTGATTCTTAGACCAACAGTTGATATACCTGAAAGGTCTAGGGCTAGTGAAAATAGGGTTAGAGGCTTTTAATAAGATGGGGCAGTGATCAGAAGTGCCTCTAGGAAGGTGTTGAGAGGTAATGTCCTCAAAACTGTTGAGACAATGGCTGTTGATAAAGACTCTGTCAAGTCTTTTCCATAATCTGCCCAGAGACCTAGTGCCTGTCCAAGTGAAAGGAGAACCAGTGTAGGGTGGGGAGTGAAGACCACAATCCATAACACAATCATCAAAGTCCTGGATGCTAGGGAGGCATGGAGTACTATTACCTTTGTGATGATCTATAGAGGAGATAGCATTGAAGTCTCCTCCTAGTATCCAATCACAATGGTAGTTATGGCTACAGGTCTTAATAGCTTCCCAGAGATCTTTCCTTTCTTCTTTAGTGTGTTTGCCATAGATGGCTGAGAAAAGAAAATCCTTGCTGACTTTTTTGTTGAAGAAAAGAATATTGGTGATCTGACCCATGTCTGTGTGGGAGATGTAGTTTAAGTCCTCCTCCTTCCACATGATCCAAATTCTATTAGAAGAGTTCACTATAGAGTTGGAGAAACCAAGATCTAACTGGAAATTGGTTATTTTAGAGGAGGAGGCTTTAGGTTCAATGATTGCTAGGACAGAGATTTTGTGTTTGTTAATGAGAAAAGATAACCTCTCACATTTAGAGGTTATGCCACAGGTGTTCCATATGAGACAGTTCATTGAGAATTATCTTTGGTGTGATTGACTGATGAATGCTTAAGTTGGAGCCTCATTGATTTCCTGACAGTTGTGTTGTAAGATTCATTCATATCTGCTTTATCATTCTTGTGTCCTTTTTTTGTAGATTCTAGAGGGGTGTTTGTAGATGATGGTTCAGTATGCTGCTGTGTCTCTGTGGTGTGAGGATGCTCTGGCTCTGTAGTGTGAGGGTGCTCTGGTTCCTGGGGAGGAATGAATACATGGTTGGAAGAAGGTTTCTTGGTTCTGTGTTCTCCTTCACTGAGATATCCCACATTGTAGTCAAAGTTTTTGCTGGAAATGTAGGAGTCATCTTGTGAGTGGTAATCCCTTTTCATACCTTGTTTGCAAATTTCAGTGACTTCTGTCATTAGGCCTTGAAGTAGTTCTAGATCAGAAATAGTGTGGTGGTTGTTGGAGGGGGTTTGATGTGGGTTTGGAAGGAGGAGTTGTGTGGTTTGATAGGTTGTGCCAGGGGATGAGGTTGAAGGTGCAAGAATAGGGAGGTGTTGGGTTATGTGGTTGCAGGAGTCTAGAAGGGGATTTGTGAATGGGGGTGGGTTGTCTGTGGTTTTAGGTGAGTTGTCTACTGGGGCAGGTGGGGTTGTTTGGTCATGTAGTGGGGAGAGTGCCTGTTGGTTTGATGTTGGGGTTGTTTGGGGAGGTTGTGATAAGTGTGTGGGTATATTATCTTGCAGAGGGGGTGTTGGTTGAGAGTGTTTGGAGTCTTGTGGTTTTTGCATAGTAGTTGGAAGGAGAGGAGTGGGGTTGATATGTGTTTGATTGGAAAGTGGGCCAAGGTCTGAGGATTTCTGGTTTTGGATGTTTGGATTGGAGTTTGGGTCAGAGGGGGTTTTTTGGTTTTGCTTGTTTGGAATGAGATTTTTTTCCATGGGGGTCTGTACTTGCTGTTTTNTGTTTGCCGGAACAGTGCTGTTTTGGACCTCCTTGTTTTTGAGGTTTTTGCATTCTGGGTTATGTCTGGAAATGCCTCTACATGTATGACAGAATTCTGGTACCTCTTCATAGATGGCTTCAAGAGCAAGTTGTTGACTCCCATTTTGAACAAAGAATTTAGAAATTTGGGGTTGTGAGATGTCAACCTCAACACAGACTCTAGCAAGGGATGGTCTCCCAAAATTTTCAGTTGTAGCATCTAGTTTAATGGGTTTACCAAAAATATGAGCAATTCTGGTAAGGGAGTCCTTAGAATGAAGATGAATATGTAGATCCTTAATTGCAACCCACACAGGTAGAATTGGGGATTCATACTTGGGGTCATAATTACGAGTCCATTTAGAAATCATCATTTTGAAAGAGCCAAAAGTCCATTCTCTTCTCTTAAAGCATCTGTGAAATTCCTCTTCTTTAGAGAAATTGAGAAGGACATGAGAGCTGTCAATGAGGGTGACAGAGAAGGCTGTGAAGCCTATTCTTTCCAGATTTTGCCTTAGAAAGTCTAAGCTTGGCCTCCCAAAAAAGAAAGAACCTACCAAGGCCCTGGAAAATCTGCTGGCTAAAAGGTTAACTTCTTCTTGTGTGAAAGACACGCAGGGAAGGCCTTTTAGCTTTTCAACCGGAGAGGCATGAGTATGAATTTCAAATACCTGTTGTGAGGTTGCAATGGTTGCTGCTGCGTAGCTTTTCCTTTGTGGTGGATATGGTGTGAAGGGAGGTTTCTGAGCATGAATTGTTGATGGAGAGTTGGCTTTTTTTGCAGGTTGCTGGTTGCTGGTTGAAGGAGGATGTGTTGGTGGCTTGGAAGTAGATGAAGGCTGGCCGGAGTTTCCCCCGGAGGAGCTCGCCGGCATGGTGTAAAGAGGCTCTGCTGCTAAGAGAGAGAAAAATTTATATATATATATATATATATATATATATATATATATATATATATATTTTGGTTCTGGTGAGAATGCAATCTTAGGAGAGAAATGAGAATGAATCTGGTGCTTTAGATTGTGAGATCTAAGGGTCAAGATTTCATCAAAATTAGATGCACCAAAATGGTGCGAAAATGCATCACGTCAAAATGCACCATAAACCTTCGAAAATGCACTATCTCAAAATCTGAGCGCATGATGCAATCTGAGCCGCAGGATGCATCAGATCCGACGGCTAGATTTTATTCTCATTATATATATATATATATATATATATATATATATATATATATATATATATATATATATATATATATATATATATATATATATATATATATATATATATATATATATAGGATAATAGACATCTCGTTTGTTAGCACCTGACAGGTGCTCAACAAATTTTTGGCCTACACACCCCACTAAATCAATACCATTTCTTGTTTTGTTTTTCCATCCACCTCATATTTTTTTTAGTATTTCCTAGTTTTTATCTAGTTTTTTTCAATTTTTCTAGTTCTTTAGAATTTCTTCTACTTCATTCCAGATTTTTTTCAATTCTTTCTAATTTTTTTCAAAATATTCTCATTTTATTCAATCTCTTTCATCATATTATATTATAATTATTATTACTATTTTTATTTTTTTATTGTTATTGTTATTTAAATTTTTATTTGAATTGTTATTGTTCTTATTATTATTATTGTTATAACATACTAATAATAATAATAATCGCAATTATAATAAGAATAATATGTAAAAAATACTTTAATAAAGTATGAATTCTTTCCAAGTTTTTTCTATTTTCTCTAGGTTTTTTCTAGTTGCAGATAAATAATGGAATAATCATATACCCTTGCAAAATAGAGCTAATCTTTTTTTTTACACTTTTATCTCATGATTACTAATAAATAATAGACATTTTGTTTGTTAGCATGTTACGAATGGGCCTCGGGCCGTGCATGGGGGTGAGCAAGGCCGGTCCATCGAAGCTAGGGTTACGAGTCCAGGGGAACGCGGGCAACGTCGGGGGCAGCGGAAGATGAAAGCACCGGGGTGGCATGGGGACTACGTTCTTCAGTAATAATATATCAATAATAGTTATTTATTTACGTGTAATAGATTTTCGTAGGTGAGCAGTTTATAAGCTCCTTCAAGGGTTTTCTTTTCGGTTCTTTCCCTTGACGCTTTTTTTGAACCGATAGGTTAGGATTGGATTAGGGTTTCCCTCTACCACCTATAAATAGAGGATGTATTTTACCAAAGCATCATTGAAGAATAATAAACCCTAAATTCCTTTGGAGTACGAAGGTACTCGAAGACCTTCTCTTTCCGTATCATTGTGCTCTCGTTGAGAGACATGACCGACGCATCGCCCACGACCACTGAACTCGACGCTAGGGTTCGGGATATGGGACACGCCATGGTGCAGATGCAAAGGGACCTTGAGTTCCGTTTCCAGCGGCTGGACGCCGCGCTGACCACCATCCAGACGGCCGTCACAACCATCCAGCATGTAGGAGGAGGCGGCGGCAGGACGAGACGGCAGCTTGACCACCACGACGGCAACCGGGGAGGAGGGTATCAGACTCCGAAACCAAAACTGGAGCCGCCCAAGAGTGATGGTTCGGAGCCGCTACGATGGTTGTATCAAGTGAAAGAATATTTCGCCTACTACGAAACACCACCGGAAGATCGGTTGCGCTGTGTTACGATGATGTTAGAAGGGCCAGCCGCTGACTGGTTCCGTTGGAGGCAGAACAACGGCCTGATCGACGGTTGGGAGGACTTTGTACGCAAGTTCAAACTCCGGTTCGACCCTCTCCATTATGTTGATTATGTCGGCCAATTAGCTCGTGTCCGCCAAGTAGGGGGAGTCATGGAATACCAGGCCGCGTTCGAGAAAGTTCTAGCCCACGTCACCGAGGTACCCGAACCCTACTTAAAATCCCTATTCCATGCAGGCTTGAAAAATCACCTTCAACATGAGATAAGTCTGCTCAAACCAGCCACGTTGTCGGAATCATTCGCACTGGCCAGGGAACTGGAGACAAAACATCAGGCCCTCGTTCAATCTGTCGGAATGAAAACTGCGTCATGGGCCCCCAACTCGAACCGCAGCAACCCTAGTCGTGCGATGTCCGAGGGTGGTGGTCCCAAAGTGGTGAGATACAAAGTCTAGAGGGGGGGTGAATAGACTTTGTTAAAAATTTAAAATTTTTTTTCGTTTCTTTTGAAAAAGTGAAAATGAGAGTTAATCTAGAGTTCTTGTGAACTTTAGATTTTGTGCGGAATTTAGTGGGTAGAGTGAGCAGTAATCAATATGGATGGGTTAGTTTTCACAGTTAATATAATTGCAAGTAAGAATAAAGATAAGAGAGAGAGACACGCAAACTTTAACGAGGTTCGAAGGTGGGGTAATCCTTCTACGTCCTCAAAATCCACTATGTAGTTGGTTGTTGAATAATGAACCAACAATTACACTTGTGTGAATTTCTGCACGGTATATCTTCGCAAGACCAATGTTGCTACTGCACTCGTGCTGGCTTTGTTGTTCCTTCGAAGGTCACGCTTCTTCAACAACTGCAAGATCCGAACAATAGGACTTGCAAGATAAACTTGTAAGAAAGTTGACCTACCCCCTTTTTAATCAAAAAGTTTGATCAAAAAGTTGAATCCTTCAACGTGGTGTGGTACTTGAGGCAAGGAAACCTTCAAGTGTTTTCACTATAGCTCTTTGGAAGGAGGAGGAGTTTGCTTCTGGATAAGGAGTTTAGAGATCTCTCTTTATCAAGCTTGTTGGGCTAACTGTGAATGAGATAG